CCCATCCTACCCTGGGAGAGTCATGATTTGAACAAACTTGAATCTATATAGTGTTAGGAAGCTTTCAAATAAGTTCCATCTCTTCTGTCACAGTTGTTCTTGAGAAAAAAAAATTCTAAATGACCCAAAACAATTTTTGCCGTTTCTTGTTTTTCTTCCCCTTGAAGGGGACAATTAATACCCCTTATTTGAATATACATGAATGAACACCCCTGTATACGTTGCGGCAAGTTTGATTGAAATTGGTTCAGTGGTTCTTGAGAAGAAATTGAGATTTGAAAAGTTTAACCACAATGCACACTAGCACAAAGTCTTACAAAAACAGATAACCTGAGTGACTCAAGTGACCTAAAGATAGTCTCTGAAGTGAGCAGATGAAGTCCTTAAGTGAGAAAACAAGAGTGAAAGACCCTAGGGGTATGTACCTTTATGGTCACTAGAGTATCATTAGTTGCATAGTTTTGTAGTGACCAGGAATGGGATGATACATGCACCTGGTTAGTAAAACTGATACCTGACCAGGCAAAGACGAGCCAGGTGTGCAATTTACTAACCGGATATCATCCCAATACCTGAACACTACAAAACTACTACATAAGAACAATAACTCTGTATTGAAAGTGTATTGATCTTCAATTGACATATACTCCCCTCACATGACTTCAACCAATGGTAAACCAGGTTCATTGAAAAATCATCAGAGGTGGGGTAATACAGATTTCACAGGCTTTAATCACAATAGCCCCTCATGAACTCAGACTCTGGTATCTAAAAAGTAGTACCAAACCATACATACCCTTGCTGAATACCATGTCATGTATGGATTTGTCTTACCATGTTGGGTGTTTGAAAATATCTTCTCCAAGTTTTTCGATCAATTGTTGCGTTTGTTGTGGCAATAACCAGCAAAAGACTTCATTCTCTTTTGGAGGGTAAATCCATGACCTGCAGTACTCTACTATGTTTTCTTTTTCTGCCCAAGTCAAAAAAATATCCATAAATTTAGGATCTCCTGCAAATTTGAGAAAACTGGCATGTCTGAGGAATTTATGAGAAAACATGATTTCTGAACTGTTATATTTTAGCATTGGACTGAATTTTTCCAAATTGGCAGGACTGGATTCTGTCGTGATTTTTTGGAAATTGTAACTTTTCGCAATGGCATTGTACTTCTCAATCCAATGTCCCTCTTTCAGATTGATTCTGTATAACTTGCACAGAAGAAGGCACATCAAAACTGCATCTCCATCTACAAATTGTAAACTGAATGTTACAGTAATGTAGGATTATTTGAATTAAGTCTATGCTAGGGTTACTCAGATTTTTTTTTTGTAAACAAATCGTTTTTCCTTTTACCATAGCAAAAATTCAAAAGTGCTGCTCTCGCATATGAGGACTGATGCCCCCACAGCTAATTAAACAAAGGACATTCAGTGCATATTTTATGCAGCCTCTAGTTAGTGTGGAATTTTTCATTTTTTATAATCTTTAGATATGTCTCCCTTAAAAAAAGGGACATGTTGATTTGCACCTGTCAGTCGTAGTGTTGTCATCTCTTTATCTTTAGAACCCTTTGCTTGATGGATATCAAACTTAGTACACTAGTACTCCCTTGAAGAGCTACTGATCACCATTATCTCGATTTTGAGGTGACAAGGTCAAGGGTCAAGAGTCTAACTACTCTAGACGTAGGAAGAAATTGTCTGTTCAGTATTTTGAGAATCCTTTTCTCAACAGACTTAAAACTTAGTACATTGGTTCCCCTTAAGGAGTAGATGACTCCTATCACTTTTTATGTCAAAATATCAAAGGTCAAGGATCAAAGTTCACATACAAAGATATTGACTACTCCATATATTTTAAGAACCTTTTGCTTGACAGATATCAAACTTGGTACATTGGTTCCTCCTCTGGAATAGATTACCTCTATTGATTAGGCATTCACAACTTCAAGGGTGAAACAACATAGACACTAGACATAAAAGATATTGTCAGCTCAGTATCTTGAAAACCATTTGAGTTAAACATTAAATTTGGTACACTAGTACCCTCTTAGAAGAAGAAAATTACCCCTAATGATATTGAGGTCTGATAAAGATAAAACTTACATGGAATTTTATGCTTGCCACTGACTAGTTGATAACCATGCAATTTCCTCACAATCATAACAGTTTAAATTTAAAGTTGTCTTTTTTTCTAATTTTACCACATGGAAGCATCTACGTTTCTGAAAAAAATCTTGTTTTCTCTATCATTACATTTTGATTGTAACAAACCTATTTGTGTGTGAACCTCCTCCAAGCTTTTCCTTACATCTCTACAGTCATGCCCTCTATGATCTTTAGACGAGGTGCACTCCTTACACAAGGGAACCTCGCATGGGACACAAAAGTCTTCCAATAAACCTCTGGGATGATCATTGCATTTTGGGAGGCCTGCTTGTAAAAGAATTGATTTGTCATTAACAAACAAGATTGATTGGAAGAAGTGACTTTTCACTTTAGCATCTTCATCATGTTCATCAATCTTCAATTTTATGTAAATTGGATAGATAGCAAATTGTGAATTTCAGTTTTGTGACATTATAAGGCCTATAATTATATATATTGTAAAGGAAAAAAAAAACAAGCCGATATCGATGAGAGTTAAATTTATACTTGTGAGAATACTCATTGACAAAAAAGTAAAGGAGAAAAAAATTGAGAAAAATTACAAAATATTTTCCCGAACTTCATCCAGGGAACATTATAATCCACTTAGAATTCTGCTTTGCATCATGAGCTTAATTACAAAACTTCAAGAGCAAAATTGACAAAAATTTTGAAAATTGTAAAATGTGTAGGCAAGAATCAAAAGTTTTCGTGTAGAGATCTCAATTGCTTAATATTTCTATCTGTAAATAAAAAGACCAAAACGCCATTGAGGTCAAAACTAACCGGAAAAAGCTGTATGACAAAAACATAGCAATAGGCCTTGTGACTCCAGAAACTATTTCTATGAAATTCTAGTGTAGCTCTACAGCCCCCTCCCCCTTTCCTACCTCGATTTTAAATAACAAAAAAAAAAGCATTCTGAGAGTATTCCCTTAGCAATACTAGTCCCTTACCGGGAAGTGTAATCTGGTTCCCATTGAAAATTAAAAATGGCATAATTCCGTCAAAGATCATTAAAGCAGAATGAAATGCAAACTTGATATATAACTCATCAAGGTAAAGCACATACTGTACCAAATAACAGCTATATACTTGCAAGCGTTTAGAAAAAGAAATGGAGAAAACCCTTAAAAATTAAAAAGGTAGTAATTCCGTCAAAAATCATTGAAGCAGAACGAAATGCAAACTCGATCTGTAACTCATCAGGATTACACTCACAAACCAAAATCAGCTTTATATCTGCAAGCGTTTAGAAAAAAAAGTGTGTGGAAAACCAAGCGGGACAGACTGACCGACAGCTAGACGGACAGCTAGACAGACAGACAGACGCGAAGGAAACTTATAGTCCCCTCCGGTTACACCGGTAGGGGACTAATAATATACACATGTATACAAATGGAAATTAAAACATACAAATGCACAATTTTACCAATTAAAAAATGCATATGTTTTCGTAGTTTCCGAGCAGTATAAACTTAAAACTGTGTTGCAGCCTGTATAGAGGTCGTTATAAAATTGACAACTTTCTTCATTTTATATATATACATGTTTTATTTCTACCAAATAAGACATACCTTTAATTAATAAGGCACAATTATTTCGTAAATAACTTCAAATTTAATTAATCAAACTGCTTTCAATTTTTTTTCAGTAAATTATTCCCAATTATTTTTTTCTCCATGTGATGAGTAAACTCATAATCAATACTTTATTTTACAGAGCACAAAAACACCGTACATGTAACATACACACTGTAGATTTGTAGATTTACTGAACACCTGCTACAGTAATACACAACATTCCTAGACAAAGCTGTATTAATGTCAATATTTTCTATAACAAACTGAGTGTAGAAAATGTAACCTCTAATTAAACATGTTATGAATATGTTAAAAACAGTGATATATGGTGACTCTATTTAACCCCCCCCCCCCCTCCCAACAAAATGGCTTTTAAGATTTTCTCACAATTGTACTACGAGTAAACTAAACTCTACTTAATGATGTCTTAATTATTACAAATATAGAACAAAAAACTGAATAGATATGTTAGAGTACATAGTGTATATTATATAAAGATAAAGGTAGATTCTCGGTACACATAGAGTGTAGATTAAAAGATTTAACAAGTAGTTTGTGAAAAAAAAAGTCACAACATGTTTTTATACTATCACAACCTAGTAAAAAAACATATACACATATTTATATATACAATAATTAAAAGGCATAGTAGCATTATATTCTATACAGTCTTTATATACTTTTTACTACACATGTACTTATCATGCTTATATATTTACATTTGCAAATGTTTTCTTTTATATAACACTATTGAAAGCAATGCGTATCTATATCCGTATAAACACGGGTTCCTCGCGTCATAAACGTTCGACGTAATTTCTCAGTGACGTCATAAAGGGTCGACGCGCAATCAGAGGATCAAACACGTGCCGTTGGGTTTGAAAAATAAAACGTTTCACGCGTTAAAGATTATAATCAGGCAAATATAAAATATGAATAAGTCACAAATGTAAATATAAGTAATAAAGTATCATTTTTAAACATCTATCGGGCTATAAATACGGGTTGGTACGAGATCAAATTTACCATAAAGCCCTTCGGGCTTTATGGAATTTGATCTCGTGACCAACCCGTATTTATAGCCCGATAGATGTTTAAAAATGATACCTTATTTCTTAATTACATATCTATAATATATGTAATGTAATTGTACATAAAGTAATGCCAACAATTAACTCGATTCCTAATATATTCTGCAGTAGTTGATTATTTTGTACAACACAGATTTTTTATAGAGCATAGATAAACAAGGAACCTTATTACTTACCGGTCAGAGAGTCCCCGTGTAACACTCTGTATATGTTGACTGTGTTGTTGTAGTCTGACCCTACCCACAGTAGTTGTGTGGTATCATCATAACTCAGGCTCCATGGTCTGTCTATCCCGTGTGGTGATGTCTGTATCTGTGACAGGAAGTTACCGTCACTGTCTAACATCTGTACTGACTTGGTGTATAGATCACACACCAGGATGTGTGACAGCGCGTCAGTACAGATTCCACGTGGCCATAGTTCTGATCCTGATGGAGGTCCTGTGTAGGAGAAGTGATGATTTCCACCACGATCTGTCACCACTACAGCATTACGGAGAAAGTCAGACACAATAACATCTCCATTGTGGTTCTCTGTGATGTAGATAGGATCTCTATACAGTCCCTGACCTGTGTTGTTGTTGTACTGTATGGTCTGGATGTGTTCTCCTGTGGAGTTATACCGCACTACCTTGCCTGTATATGGCCATGTATCAGTATTATACATCCCGACCAACAGATCTCCAGTGGAGGGGGAGCTGTAGACACACAGTGGATACCATGGTGCTGTGTTGTACTTTATTAATGTAGTCTTTAGGGTTTTATCTGTAGACAGTTTGTTGACATTATACTCACTGTCTATATAAATTAAATCACCGTCATTGTTCACAGTGTGTCCTCCATAATCACTATCTATACCTGTCAGATGATGTAGTTTATCCCCTGCTGTGTTTGACAAGATGAGATTGTCTCTATCAATGATCCAGACCCGGTCTGATGATACACGGGAAATGTGAATACATCCACTAACACCTGTCACTGTGACAGATTTCTGTAACACAAATCTATACATCATTGACAGCAGACATTTATTTCATCTTTATCCTGTGGTTTTATAACAGAATCCCGTGTTGATTTCCTCAGTCAGGGAGATTTCTCTGTAAATTACAACACATGGTTGTAATTATTGACATCAAGAAGACTCTCTTTACAATTTTTTTTTTACATGTAACTATATAGATCATTCAATAATTGTCTCTTTTAAAACAATTTAGTTCATTTACATATAATTATGTCTCTAGGCTTTTACATACTTTGTGTATTAACATATTAATGTAATCATCTTTACACTTATATATTGATTATTTGTCAAGAACTGCATAACACATTATAATAACATGTCATGAGTTCACAAGTTGTTCAGAAGTTATATGGAATTCTGTGGCCCTTGAAAACACTATTGTTATACATACGGTACGTAGTGCTGAAGTCTTACATTGATTGATTTAGGAGAGTCATTTGTACACAGCACTGGACTGGAATCTGATCTAAAATAAAAAATTGCAGTTTTAGAGAATCTTACTGTTAAAGATCAATTGACATTTTTCATTAAATTGATATAAATTTATATATGAACTTGAGATGTAATAATTCTTAAATTCATATTTTTAATTGTGTCAATTCAACATGTTCAATTATGTACAAACATGTAAAACTGATCAATTAAAATCAATGGAATATTACATCAACTCAATCCTGCTGACTTACCTGAGAATACACTATTTATAGCACTTTATACAGTGACAACATTGATATAAAGAAGAGGCCTCTGTGCCACAATGCTCACCTGTGCCCCCCCCCCCCTTCCCGGGTTCATGATTTATACATACCACTGTTATTTTCTTTGGTTATGTACAAAACATATAGAAGGAGCCCATGGGCCAAATTGTTCACCCGAGTAATCCTAGTCTCTCTGTTATTCAGACTTTTTTAAAAAAAGATTTGTCTCCCTTTATTCTCTTGAAAAATAGTGATCCTGTATTGTGACCCCATCTTAATTTTAAGGGGTCCCTTATCCTGCAGAACATATATAATGACAATTCAATATCAATTATTACTGACATGACTCTGCAGTTATGGAGATTATATTTTTTCTGAATACAAGGTTTAGATCACCAATTTTAGCCCATCCCAAACCTATGATCAATAAATTGGGATAAAATAAATAATTCAACAGAACTTTAGAATATTTGAATTATTTTAAGTATTTCTGTTGTTTTTCTTGAGAACATTTTAAAAGGATTTGTCCTGAACATGTACATATCTTTATAAAATGTTTTCCCTAATTGTGAACCCACCCAAAGTACTCTGTGCACTGATTCAAACATTAAATTAATATGCACTATGTGAGGATGCTTGCATATTAATACATGTACTACTACACATGGTTCATAAAGTTTTTGCCCTCTATGTATTGTACACCCGCTCCACCCCCGGACTCCGGGATTTTAAAAAATTAGAATTTACTTATTTCAGTAAGTTTACAAATAATTTCTATCTTTTCTGGTCAAGTAATTCTTGAGAAGAATATTTTTAAAAGATTTTTTTTTATATTCCCATGTAAAATTTTGATACCAAATTGTTGGCTCATCCTACGTACCTCCTGGGCCATGATTAAAAAAAATTAGAATTAAAACTACATTAAGTCATGTGTATCATATGCCTAGTAGTGTATCAGCCTTCACTGATACATGTGATTTTGACTTGCTAAAACAGCTGCTAGGAGCAAAGGTTGCATTGCCCTGAGGGCAAGATCACTATGTCTTAAAGCTTAAAAAATTGCCCTGTTACTAAGGGGGTCTATCGCCCTCAAATTTTAAACAATTATTTCCTTTAATATGTGTAATTCAATATTAAAATTTGCATTTAAGTGTTAAAAAAAGGTATTTTGTACACTTAAATTACATCTGAAATTTAAATAAATATTAAGCTATGCTAAAGCATAAAAAAATGTTTTTAAAAAGTGTGCCAAATGATGCTGCTCCTGGCGTAAGAGAGGTAACTCTTGTTTACTTAGAACATATCAACACATCATATTTTGAACACAAAATGGACTTTTATCCGTTTTGACTTTAAGAATATATGACAATTTCTCTTTATATGCCATGTCTAAGTATGTTTTTTAAGCTGAAAACGTCTGGCGGCCAAGCCTAGTTGTGATGATGGGTAGTATTATTGTCCATTTTCATGATTATTCAGTGACTTCTTCAAGCAACATCTTTGTCTCCTTTAGAAAGAGCGAAAACAAAGGTGGATAACTCCAATTTTATTTCTTGCAACTAAAAAATGAATTCACTTTTTCAAACTTTTTTTCTGTATAAAAATATGCTTTGCATTAAATTGTCTGGTTTTAGATATATGATATAAAAAACAACACACCAATGTTTTGATCTCGTCCCTGGTATCAGTCCTTCGTTCTTGGGCTGATACCTACCGCTCAGGCTAATATAAGGGCCGAGATCAAAACAGCACTGTGATATTCTATATATATATATATATATATATATATATATATATATATATATATATATATATATATATATATATATATATATATATATATATATCGGGCAGCTTACTTGTAAGTCTCATGTTTTCTATTTTTAGCTCTTCTGAGCCAAAGGCTCAAAGAGCTAATGCTATGGACATTTGTACGGTGTGCATAAACTTTTTTAGAATATGGGCCATAACTCAAGAACCCCTTGGCCAATTATTGTCGAATTTGTCACAGGGTATCCTTAACTCAAGAGCTCCCATTTATACTAAAACTTGGGTTGTGACCCTTAAACAAGGGGAGATAATTAGGAAAATAGAAACAAAAATACGGGTTGCTAACAAATCTTCTCAAGAACCACTAGACAGATTATCACCAAACTTACACCTTGTAGAACCTGTCAAAATAAAATCAGACTTATTGACAACTTCCTCACATATTGACATGGTAAGTAGATATACCTTCACAAAGTAATATTAATTTTCATCATTATTTTATAATAGGTATAAACATCAGGTACACAAAATTATGCTTTTTATTTATTAATCAAGAAATAAAGGAATACTACTTATTTTTTCTTCTTCTCCCAGGATAATCTCAGATAATTTAGAGGTTACGGAACGTACATTGTCTAATCCAATAATACCGGTACAAGTTGCATGAACTCCATCCAATAATAGATTATTTTATTTATACAGTTAAGACTTTACACATAATTTATTATCATCTTTTCTGACAGAGTACTTGTTTCAAAGATTTTAAAAATGTTTTTATATTACCATTGTTAACTTTGTTCCACACTATCCTAATTATTTCCGTTTTTTAAAATACCCCCTTGGGAATTAGAAATTGACCTTTCATTTGAAAAATTTTAAATCCATTGTAACCAAAGATTCTTTGTACCAAATTTGGTAAAATTTGGCCAAGTATTTCTATGTTCTCAAAAAGGTAAAAAAAAAAAATGAGAAAAAAAAATTACAGATAGACGTGTAGCATATCTGAATTTTGTATATATATATAACTTTAAAATTGTGTTTTTATTTTTATGCACTTATAATTATGAAATATAGGTAGATAAATAAAAGTTTTACAAACATATTAAATTACAAAGTTATTAAAAGTGTCTGTGTTAATTTATTTTACAATTTTGTTGAATTAATTATTTTCCTGCCAAAACTCCATTGAGCGATTGGTGCAGACCTATCACATGACTGGTGGCCATAGACAGGTTTTTGAATTTCTCTTGGGTGTTGGTCACTCCTGTCCCGTGCTGTGGTACCAGCAGATTGTGTTTCTATGTTATTTACTTCGGAACTTTTGGATTTTCAGTCATGGTATGTTCGACTTTTTGTTTGGTATTTATCTTAGAAGTTTAAGTATTGTTTCAGGATGGATGAGATTTCTGCATTTTTATGCTTACAGTAGTTAAAAACTTACATGATTAATATTCTTTTAGAACAGCACAGCACTTAGAAAATTTACAGATATTCATTGAAGAGCCTAAATTCCATAATTTTGGTTAGTCGTTTATTAAATGTAATTTGTAAATGTAATTGTAAATAATTTTAATTTTATCGCTAAACTCTCATAATTAAATAAGTTCAGTGGAGATCACTTTATAAATTAAACTTCTGAGTGTTATAAATATTAAGATATTGAGTTAATGCGTCATGATACGTATTAATTAGTGAGAGACTATTTTATGATTAGTGTTTTGTATTATTATATGAACATGAGAGTATTGTATACATTGTTGAGGTTTTGTACATTGGTTTTGCAGGGCCGGATAAAGAAATAGATAGTTGAAATGATAGAGATTTATATTAATTTATTGGATATAATATAACCTGCTGAACTTTTAAACCTGTGTTGTGAGTTATTTTTTAGAAAAAAACATTTCATACGCAACCAAGGTTTACAGACGGACAACAAGGCAGACAGACAATCTCCAGACAACTCGTGATCAGAAATGCACATGGAATTTTTGCTTAGTTGAGCCAATAATAAAAGTAATAAAGATGTATATACCACAAAGATTACCTTTGGTTATGTATAGTACTTGGAACTCTGTGTCCGTGTCATTAGGACTTGGGAGATAACCTGTACAAACAAATCAATGCTGCATTATTACTTTTTATAACTCTCTGTTAAAAAAACACATACTAACATTATTACATTTCATTCTTAAACGTTAAGTTTTCTACAAGTATTAAAACTAATGTTTCTTGACGTACAAGGCAATCTGTAATTAAAGATCTCAGTTTTAAATTAATTTTCAGAATATATGAATCGAGAAGTTTAAAAATTGCATAAGTAGTGATTTATTAACCTTTAGTCCAAAAAGGTAATTTTTGTTTCTCAGGCACTTCATCAGGTAAAGCAATGTTGCATTGATCTTTATTCACAAACTGAAAGGGGAATGAATTGATTTTCTAATCTTTTAAGTTAAAAAAATGAGTTATTTGACTTCCCCCTAACTATAGCATGGTTCTAAAATGTTCTTTCTACATACCATATACACAATATATTTCTTTTGTCACAATGTCTTATCACATAACATTTTATAAAGTATTGATAAATA